AAATCATCACTCCACCGAGAAAATTGTCCGGTTTCGACGCCTGTGAAATCATTGGGTTGCTGTTTCCAGCAGGAGTTTTGTGAGTCGATCGTGCTCGGACTGTTGAGAATCTCTCGCTTCGTCGTGGACGCGCGAGCCCGGCGTCAAGACGTGCTTCAAGACGACATGCGTGACTTCAACTTGAAGTTCAACATAGATACGTATATTCAACTTGAACTTCAACACAGACCGTCTCGATCCATGGCCAGCCTCTGTCCAGCCGCTGGGCAGCGTCGCCGCACCACACGGGGACGACGGTCGCGCGGTCCGACCGTTATCACGGGTTTCCCCACCCGTAGTCGAGGTGCACGCGCGGATCACTAGTGCCTAGCAGTAGGAGTAGGAGTAGTAGGGGTCGGGTCGCGTCGGGGGTCGAAGTCATAGTATGACCAGATTTTTGTGGATCGACCGTTCGCCATGTTTGGGAAGCCTAACGCGCCGGGCGCTGGCGCGAAAGGAGGTGGTTTTCACGCGCGCAGTCGTCGCGGCGCGTCGGGTTTGTACGTCTCGGACCGCGTCTTCGCGCGCGAAACGCGCGCGCTTGTCGGCGGCCAATTTCGCTCCGGAGACGTTCGTTCGCTTAGTTTTTTATGTGGGAAACATGGAGTGGCCTTCTTTTTCGGTCTCGAATTTGATTTCGAGGGGTCGATTTTGCGTCCGGCCCGAGGGCAGCTTTTTGTCGTCTCCGAACCCCCGAAAAATAAAAGTCCGATGATCGGGCCCAAAATTACACGACGCCCGGATCCCTGCGTCGGCACCGCACATCGATCATCTCCCAGTCATTTTTCATCAAAAAAAACATATTTTCGGACGGCAGAGCGTCCGACAGAGATCGTAAGATACGTATCCTAAAGTCCATACGATACGTTTCCTTAAGTCCATCAACGATGATTCACTGGAGTCCGCCGAGGTAACAGCTACCGAACTGGGCTTTGGCATACGTGGTCGACGATCCAGGTCGCTAAGTGGGTTCCGCGCGCCGGGGCGACGCGTAGGCGGGCGCGGGGCCGCCGTCGTCGTCGTCGGAGTCGCCGCCGTCGCCGACGGAGGCGAAGACGTTCCGCGCGGGGCCGCCGTCGTCGTCGTCGGAGTCGGCGCCGTCGCCGACGGAGGCGAAGACGTTCCGCGGGGAGATGGCCGACGGCGCGCTCCCGGCGAGGAGCATGGACCGCCGCGACGACGTGCGGTGCTCGAGCACGTGGCCGACGCCGTGCTCCTCGGGGTGGTCGCCGCCGTCGTCCCAGGCGACGGGCGCGACCCTCGGGCCGTCGTCGCGGAGCGCCTCGACCTTGCGCTCGTCGCCGTCCCAGGCCTCGCCGCCCTCGGCCTCGACCTTGCGCTCGTCGCCGTCCCAGGCCTCGACGCCCTCGGCCTCGACCTTGCGCTCGTCGCCGTCCCAGGCCTCGACGCCCTCGGCGGGCTCGAGGGCCCCCGCGTAGTCGCAGAGCGACGACTCCGGCAGCTCGACGGCGGCCTCGTGGTCGGCCTTCGTCGCGGACGACCGCCGCCGGTCGCTCGGCCGCCTCGGCATGAGCTTGCCCAGCCGCGGCGCCGCGGCGCCGAGCGTCCGCGAGATGCGGCGGAGCCGCGCGACGAGGGCCCGGACGAAGAAGCTGTCGCGCAGCGCCTTGAGGCGCATGAGCAGGTAGGCGTCGAAGGGCGGCTTCATCTTGGCGACCAGACCCGCGGCGAACTCGAGGCCGACGGGCGTCCTCACCCCCAACAGGTGGCAGACGACCGTCGCGATGATCGGCCCCCAAAAGGCCAGGATGCCCAGAAAGATGCCGAGGCCGAGGCGGCTCGCGTCGCGCACGGCCCGGCGCGGGCTCTCGGCCTCCGTGCCGTGGTCGCCGATCTTTCGCCGCGTGTCGTAGGGAACCACGCCGTCAGGCCCGCGGCGCCGCTCCAGGTGATGAGCGACGGCAGCGCGGAGACGGGGTCGCCCCAGTGCCTACCGAGCACGACGGTGACGATGTTTCGTCGTTTCCCCGGTGCAAAGCTCTCGAAACTCGTCACCGCCGCAGGACGCTGCCCAGCGCTCGACGGCGCAGTAGAAGCCCCGGTTCGTGCCCACGTTGTCCCGGAGCAGCGGCGCCGTCGCGCAGCCGCAGCTCCAGAGCACCATCAGCGCGCACGCGGCCAGGAGTCTGCCCCGCGGGGCCCCGCGGGACCGCCGGCAGGCCGCCGCGTCGCGGATCGCGCGCCAGGGCGCGTAGGCCATGGCCGCCGCGCCGCAGAGGCCCAGGGTCGAGGCGAGGATGCCCAGGAAGCCCGACGCGGCGCAGACGGCGCCGCGCTCGTTGCCGCCGCCGTCCGTGTACAGGTTGAAGACGTGGTAGGGCAGGTACCTGCGGCGTCGCGTCCGCGACGACGGTTTTCCGGGCGCCGGGCCGCGCGAGAACACGAAGAGGGCGTCGCCCAGGAGCACGGGCAGCACCGTGTTCAGGAGCGTTCCCTGCGCCGACAGCGGCGACTCCGTGCGCGAGGCGATGGACCGGCCGACGAGGACGAGGCAAATGGCGCCGATGCTGCAGAAGAAGACGGAGCCGGCCCAGTAGACGCGCAGCTGGGTGGCCGTCCCGTGCGACACCATGGTTTGGTCACATCATGCTGCCCGCTTACGCGGGCCTGCTTCCCCCCGCCGGCCCGGGACGGACGCAGTCGGGCGCGCGTCCCCTTCAATAACTAGTCCAACAGAAGGTCATCGCGCGCCCTTAAGTTTCCCGCGCCGTCGCCGGCAGGCGAGGAGGAGGGCCGCGGCGGCGACGGCGGCGGCGCCGAGCGCGAGCGGCGGCGCGTCGTCGTCGGCCGCGGCGCGGTCGCACGCGAGGACGGCGTCGCAGATCGCGCGGCAGTCCGCGGGCTCCGTCCTACCGAGGAGCTCGCCGAGCGCCTCCGGGTCCCGGCGGAGCTCGGGCCACGAGCGGTACCCCACGGATCGTCCCGCATGGTAGTGGCGGACGAACAGAGACGACCGCGCCACGGCGACGGTCCTCCCGAAGGCAACTGTCGACTTGTGGACGTTGTACTCGGCGACGGCGTCGAGGCGCACGATTGCCTTCGTCGCGCTCCGGTTGTGCGCGGCGTCGCGCCGCCGAACAACCTGCCGCGCGAGCATGGGCCCGCGGCGTCCGTCGCGCGGGCCCTCGAAGATGACCGTGGGCAGCACGAGCTGCGACACGCGCACGGGCCGCCCGCGCTCCGCGCGCCGGCTCTCCGCGCGGACGCGCGCGCCCAGGAAGCCGCGGGGCGGCTCGTCCGCGTCGACGGACGCGTACTCGTCGACGTCGACCAGGAGCATCCACTTCGCGACGTCGACGGCGCGGCGGTGCGCGTCGCGCGCGGCGGGCAGCTGCACGGCGGCGACGTGCTTGCCCGCCAGGGAACCGTCGGCGCGGACGTTGCGCCGCGCGACGGCGCCCCAGTCGACGTACTCGAGGAAGCCCGCGCGCGCGGCGGCCCGGATCCGCGGGTCGCCTTCGAAGCGCTCGCTCTCGCGGAGGTGCGCGTCGTAGACGAAGACCTTTTCCACCCCAGCGTAGCGGTGCCACGCGAGCCAGTGCAGGAGGTCGTCCACGGTGAGTTTCGCCGGGTCCGAGTCGTAGAGGCGCACGTGCAGCGCCGCGACGAGGAAGAAGGGCCGCGACCGCGACCGATTCGTGACCAGCGGCGCCGCCGGGCACCACGCGGGCGGGCGCATGCAAGGCCGGTGCCTGCGATGGCTCTTCAGCGCGCGTGTTGCAGGTCGCAAAGGCTGCAATGCTTCAGAGTTGTTTGCTTGCAAACCAACGACGAGTATTTGCTCAAACGAGCGCGTTTTGCAGATCGCAAAGGCTGCCCATCATGCCGCCGCACTTCTTCAACTTGAACGCCACATCTACAAGGTGCACATCTAAGGTGCACCACAGCCTCTCAGCAGCCGCAGCCGAGAGCTGCGTCGGCAACACGCTGGTCTGCCGCGCGGCACCCCCGGTGCGCCCGCGCGGGGTTCCCAGCGCGAGCTGCGCGGGCCTCGACGCCGCGTAAACCGGCGCGAGGCGCGAAAGCCACGCGCTCGCGCCTTGGCATCCCGGTGAAAATGTTCTGCCAGAACCTGTGGTGGCTCGGCGCGCTGCCGCTCGGCGCGCGCGCGTTCTACACGTCGGACATGTACCACGGCTGGAAGAAGCCCGAGGCCTCCGACGGCGCGAAGGTGACGACGGCGACGGCGCCCGGGTCGACGACGAGCTACTACGTGCTCGACCTCGGGCAGGACGACGGCGAGCTCCTCCGCGCGCTCGACCTCGACGGCTCCGAGGCGTCGCTGCTCGCGTCGCTCGACGAGAGCGAGCAGTCGCTGCTCGCGTCGCTCGCGTCGCCCGCGGCGGAGCCCGCCGTCGCCGCGCTCGTCGAGGCCATCGGCGAGGACGGCGGGCTCGTCGAGGCCATCGGCGGGTCCGTCTTCCACGCGCTCCGGCCCAAGGAGGCGCACGCGACGGCCGCGGGCGTCTGCGTCTTCGCCAGCGGCAGCGCGCAGATCGACGGCTGGTACGCGCGCCAGGAGGGCCTGGTCTTCGACGGCGCGTCCTTCCGGAAGGACCACCTCTTCGTGTCGCGCTTCGGCTTCGACGACGCGGCGCCGGGGTCGTACTACTGGTTCCTCAGCGACCTCAAGGACCCGGCGACGCACGGCGACGACG